GTTCCCAGAATCTGTGAATCTGTTAAGTTATATGGAAAAAGGGAAGTAATCAGCCAATCAACTGACCTTTAGGAGATTATCTTGAATTATCCAAGGGAACCCAAAGAATTCACAAGAGTCATTAAAAGTAGAATCTGGGGACAAAAGAAGTGATATGACTATGGAAGAATGGTCAGAGATGCAATATTGCTCGCTCTGGAAATGAAGGAAGAAGGTCACAAGCCAGTGTAGGTAGGTGGCTTCTAGAGCTTGAAAAGCCATGGAAATAGATTCTCTCCTACAGCCTTCAGAAGGGAATCAAACTGATCTTGATTTTAGCCCATTGAGACCCATGAAGTAAGACTTCTACAGAAATGTATGAAAATAAATGGGTGTTGTTTAAAGCCACTGTGTGGTAATTTGTCCCAACAGCAAACAAACAAAAACCCAAAAAATGAATAGAGGGGCATAAGGGGCTATATGGAAAGATTAATTAAGTGGCTAGAGCATAGTCCAGGGTAGAGATAAAAGTGACTTGAACTAAGTGGGTGGTAGTGGGAAGAGAGAAGTGTGTTAATTCAAGCTCCGCCTTGGATGATGAATGCCAGGTTTCTGACAGCGACAACCGGAAAAAAGGAAATGTTTTCACTGAGATGGGGGAGACCAGAAAAGGGAAAGATATATGGAGGATATCAAGAGTTTGGTTTTGGACCCACTAAGTTTAATGTGCCTGTGAGGCATCAAGTAGTAAAATCAGGGAGGTAGTTTGTTAGGTGGTGAGGCTAGAGCTCAGGGGATAAGGCTGGGCTAGAAATTAAAATTTGGGCCTCAACATCGATGGATGTCCTTTACAGTCATGGAAGTAGGGAGATCCCTAGGACAGTGTTTTTCAGACTTTGAACACTCATGCAAACCACTAATTTTATACAATTAAGCAGTCTTTTTTAAATTAATGTTTTTATTACCATCAAAAAGGATGATTTTTTTGTAGCCTCTTACAAAGTAGCTGTATCTAATTTGATGATAGATAGTTTGAGATGTAGGTAGACCAAGGCAATTTTTTTTAACCTATATTTCTACAAAATTAGGAAATCCTGTGTCACTATTGTCAAGAATTGCAGGTTGTGTTTGCTGGCTCCGTTGGGTGCTTTGGAATATCCAGATCAAATACAGACTGAGAAATTATGGGAAGATTTTTCCTTGAAGATTATTTCTAGGGCTCTTTCAGTTGCCAGATTGACAAGCTTATGATATTAAACAAGTATAGGGATAAATATTTCAACCAGCCTGAATGTTTGGAAGATAGTAGTAAATGGATTCTTAAGTCATTTTTCTTTTTTACTACTTCATTTTCTAGAAAGTGTTTTCTCATGTTTTATTGTAACATTTTAGCACGATCTTTAAATACCCACAATAGTAAAGAAAGCCATCAGGCTTTGGGAAGGAATCACATCCTAGCAACTGAGCCATTTGTACCATAGTTGATGACTTTGAAAAATCTGGTATCTTATTTGCAGCATTAAAAATCAGGATATTTTGGACCTGAAGTAATAGGTTCAGGTTATTTAAAATTCTGCTACACTCCACTTAAGCAGGCCTCTGGAAAACATAGAATTGCTTTGTTGGTATTATCAGCATCATAAAGAATTTTTTTAAATCTCATGCCTCATTTAAGAAGTTTGTCAGCACTTTTTTCCTTGACAACCAGCAAACTCCAGTGGGAAGAGTGATCTTGCTAACACTGCCATTTCTTTCCACAGCATCTAAGAGCGCGTCCTTTGAGTAGTCAAGATTTGATGATATTCAATTTTCATTATTTCCTTCAACACTCACCTATAATCAGGAAGCATATTGTTGACTCCTGTTTCATGTTTAAAGAATGTTTTAGTAATATAACAGCATTTCCTTTTGCTTGCTTGTGGCCTGTGCTCTATCAGTGTTGAATGTGTTGTACTTTTTTCGTCTTATATATAGTTCACAGAAGAATCATTGTCAAAATAAAAACTTTCTTTGTACTATGAGTTTTCACTGATAAGTGGAACAAAAAGTTGTTGAGTACTTTTACCTCATCACACACTGTATTTATATGTCAAGGACTGATTTTTATTTTTTCATGAGTAGTGTAATACAAAATGTATGCTGAAACACCTATGTGATAGTAATTGCTCTTCTGTATTGTATGCCATTGACAATTTTTGACATCCAGAAGAATTATTTAATAAATAAATTTTGTCAATGGCTTGCTTTTTTCTCAGGCATTAAAGTTGGCAATAAATTTTAATTGACAAACTTCTCAACAATATCAAGACTTTTTATCTGGTTTAGCTGAGGAGTGCTTCTTTTGTCTTGGTCTCCTCTCTGTCAACAAAGCAAATGGATTTTGGGCTTTGTGGGAAAATAATCTGAAAGTTTACTTGGTATAATACCACCATATTTATTGAATGCTAAATATAGCTGATATAAACTGATCAATACAGACCAAACATAATGAGACATTTTAGTGAGTGGTAACTTTAAAGAAAAGAAAGGGATTCGCATGAAAGTCATCATTAATCTTACATATCAGGTTTGTGGAATGCATGTAAACATATTTCTTTTATTATTTTACCTCAGAAAAATGCTTGTGAACTGTTTCCTAATCACTAAGGACCATCTCTTGAGGATGCTGAGAGAAAAAAAGGGGGCTAGAACTGAGCCGTGAGGCACTCTGAAGGTTACAGACCAACTAGAAATAAAGGTACAAAGGAGACTGAGAATTTATGGACCAAAAAAAAAAGATCTGAAAAGTGTGATGTCATAGAAACCAAGAGAAGAGTAGAAGAGTAATTCAGGACAAAGGGTAACCTGTGAAAAGTTACTGAGAGATAAATGAAAATGCATAGGACTTAGTAACATGCAGCTCATAGAGATTCTAGCAGGTACTTTTATTCTTAGTGGTGCTGAGTGGCAAAGGTTGGGCAGGAGCTAGAAAATTAAATTGGAATGGGTGTTAGAATGCATAGAAAGTGAAGAAATAAATGTGGTGTGCAGACAAAGAGTTATAGTTAATAAGTCATCAAAGAAGATAAAATGGAATCCTAAAAGCACTCAATCTGAAAAAGAGAAAAAAATTAAGAAGGGAACAAAGAGCAAGTGAAACTAAAAGAAGCAAAGAAGAAGATGATAAACTTAAACCTAACCATATTAGTAATCATACCACATGTAAATACTCCAAAAACCCCAATTAAAAGACCAAGATTATCAGATTGGACTTTAAAAGTATAAAGATTCAAGAATAAGTTGTCTATAAGAAATACACTTTGACTATAAAGATACAGATAGGATAAAGCTAAACAGAGAAAGATATATCATGATAATAACACTAGCCAAGAGAAAGTGTGAATGGTATTATTAATGGTAAGGTAGATTTCAGAATAATGATATTGTTAGGGTTAGAGAATATCATTTCCTAATGATAAAGAGGTCAATTAACCAGAAACAATACTGGACATTTATATACCTAATATTAGAGATTCAAAATACATGAAGCAAAATTAATGGAATGGCAATAAAAAATAGAATGATCCTTAGTTATACTTGGAGATTTCAATAGTTTACTCTCAATAATTGATGGAATAAGTAGATAGAAAATGAACAATCATATAGAAGACTTGAACAATATTATCAACAATACTATCAACTTGACCTACTTGACATTTATAGAATACTTTATCTACCAGCAGCTCAATTCATGCTTGGAATTCTCAGTCTCCTTTGTACCTTTATTTCTAGTTGTTTTTCAGCTCCACAGAGAACATGTAACAAGATAGACCATAACATACTTTAAGGTAACCCATGGGTGAAATAAATAAAAAGAGAAAATAGAAAGTATGAAAATACATTTATCAAAGTTGTGGGATGCTGCTAAAGCAGTTTGTAGAGGGAAATTTACAGATGCATTAATACCTATATTGAAAAGAAGAAATGACACAAATCAATAGCCACAACTTCCTTTTTAGAAACTAGAAAAAAGGAGAACAAGTTAAACAAGAGCAAGGAAATAAAGGTTAGAGTGGAAACAGAACAAAAACTACAACTGAAAACAACAGTGAAATTCAATGAAACCAAAAGCTGGTTTTGTGAGAACATCAATACTACTGATAAACTTCTAACCAGACAAATCAGGAAAAAAAGAGGGAAGACACAAATTACCAATATTGAGAATGAGAGAGGTAACATCACTATATAGTCTAAAGACATTAAAAGGATAAGAAGGGAATATTATAAGCAACTTTATATCAATCAAATGACAACTTAGATGAAATGGACATATGCTAAAGAGACACAAACCAACAAAACTCACTCAAGAAGAAACAGATAACATGAATAGCTCAGTATCTATTAAATGATTTGAATTTTAGGGGGAAAAAAATAACCTGTTCTCAAAGAAAACTCCAGGTCCAGATAATTTCATTGATGAATTCTATCAAACATTTAAGGAAGAAATAATCCTAATTAACACAGATCTTTAGAAAATTGAAGAGGAGGTTATACTTCACAACTCATTCCGTGAGGCTGTCATTACCCTTATATCGAAACCTGTCATAAAAAACTGCAGAGCAGTATGCTACATGAGCATGGATGCAAAAATTCTAAACAGAATTTTAGCAAGTTGAATCTAACAATATATAAAAGCAGTAATACATCATAACCAAATGGTATTTATTCCAAGGATGCAGGGTTAGTGTAATATTTAAACAACAGTCAATGTAATTCATGATATAAACAAATGTGAAAATCATATGATTATTTCAGTACATGAAAAAACATTTGACAAGGTCCATTACTGATTAAAATTTTCAGTAACCTAGGAGTAGAAGGGGTCCTAATCAACCTGACAAGAGGTATGTATGTAGAAGGTGGTTACCTCAGCAGGCTGGGGTTGCTCAAACTCTGCACATTCCTATAAAAAGCTTGTTTTCGTGACCATCCTTTGCTCACATCCAGAAAATTAAGCTCTTGAGATTTTTTATCTAGTAAGAATATATTTGCATGTCTGAGTTTTTGAACTGTGTTATACTAGTTTTTCCAGATAGCATATACTAGTAATGTGATTTATGGTGAACACTTGCTTTCCTTCCGGGAATCTGGAGCTTCAATAACAGGTCAGTCACACAGGTGCTGTGAACTTATATGACTGATACCTATAAAAATCTTGGACACTTAGGCTCAGATGAACTTCCTGTTTGGTAACATTTTACACATGTCACAAATAGTTGTGAGAGAATTAAGTGTGTCCTATATGACACTGCTGGGAAGGGATACTTGGAAGCTTATACATGGTTTCTTCCAGACATCAGCCCATGTGCTTTTTCCCTTTGCAGGTTTACTCTATATCCTTTATCTGTAATAAACTGTAACCATGAGTAGAATAACTTTTGAGTTCTTCTAGCAAATCATCAACCCTGAGGGTTGTCTTAGGGATCCCTGACACAAGGGGTATCTGCAAGACACTATATATAACATCAATTTAGTGGTGAAAGACTGACTACTTTCTCTTTAGCATCAGGAACAAGGCATTTATGCCCATTCTCTATATTATATTGGAGGTTCTAACAATGGAAAAAGGCAAGAAAAAGAAATAACAGGCATCTAGATGTTAGAACAAAGAAGTAAAGCTATCTTTATTCATATAATATGATGGCTATATAGAAAATCTGATGGAATCTCTGAAAAAGCTCCTAGAACTAAGAAACGAGTTTAATAAGGTTGCTAGATATAGGATTAATATACAAAAATCAGTGTATCTCTATATACTAGCAATATACAATCAGAAATTGACTTTTAAAGTGCAATTCCATTTACAGTAGTATCAAAAGTATTAACTACTTAAGCATGACTCTTGCGTAAAAGATATGCAAGATCTGTACACTGAAACTACAAAACATTACTGAAAAAAGTTGAAGAAGACCTAAATAAGTCAAGAGATGTAATTCATTCAAGAGTCAGAATACTCAATATTGTTATGATGCCAATTCTCTCAGGATAGATTGATAGATTAAATGCAATCTCAGTCGAAATTCAAAGAACCTAGAATAGCCAAAGCAATTCTGAAAAATAAGAACAAATTTGGAGACTACCTGATTTAAAGATTTATTATGAAACTACAATAATGTCGTTTTGGCATAGAGATAGAATAGTTAATTAATGGAACAGAAAGTAAAAAAAATAGGGCCACAAACATACAGATAAATGATTTTTTTTTCTAAAGGTACAGTTCACTGGGGAAAGGACAGTTATTTTAAATGCTGCTGAAACAATTGGATATCCATATGCAAAAATATAAACTTGACTCTATACTTTGCACCATATAAAAATTAAAATGTAGAATCTAAACTACTAATTTCCATGAGAAAACAAGCCGGGCTTGGTGGCTCAGCCTATAATCCCGCGCCTTTGGGAGGCTGAGGTGAGTGGATTGCCTGAGCCTGCGAGTT